CGGAGCTCGTATGGGGCCACGAAACGTGTGAGGGGTGTGCCGAATTGGGTGTGGGTGACGCATGCGGGCGGCAGCACTGGGGCCTTCGGCGGAGCTCCTATGGGGCCACGAAACGTGTGAGAGGTGTGCCGAATTCGGAGTGCGTGACGCATGCGGGCGGCAGCACTGGGGCCTCCGGCGGAGCTCCAATGGGGCCACGAAACGTGTGAGGGATGTGCCGAATCCCACCAGCCCTTTGGGCGTGAGTGGTTTAGAGAGCCCGCTCTGTCCTCAACCCCCCTTCTTCCCTTTTCGGGGAGGGGTTTACCCCTCCCCCTACCCCCTCCCCCTGGGCCTGGAGAGAGGCCCCGGCGGGTGGTCAGGGTTTTTTTTTTCGACTCCTGGGAGGGTCAAAAAACGACAACCCTCACGAGGATTCTGGCCCCGGGGGGGGGGGAGTTTGGCCCCTCTCCTCTTCTTTGAAGCCAGAAACATTGATTTTACTAGGGTTTGGGCTCCATTTTGGCCTTCTGAAGGGGGCAGCGCTCATCGTCCTTTATAGCAAAATCATTGATTTTACGAAGGTTTTGGGCTCATTTTGTCCTTCCCAGGGGGCAGCTCTCATTTGCGCTTCGAAGGAGGTCGCAAGAGGCCCCAAGATGGCCCCAAGAGGCCCCCAGGAGGCTCCCAAGAGGCTTCCAAGAGGCCCCCCAAAGGCCCCCAAGAGGCCCCAAGAGGCCCCCAAGAGGCCCCCAAGAGGCCCCCAAAAGGCCCCAAGAGGCCCCAAGAGGCCCCCAAGACGCCCCCAAGACGCCCCCAAGAGGCCCCCAGGAGGCCCCAAGAGGCTCCAAGAGGCCCCCAAGACGCCCCACGAGGAGCCCGAACGACTCACACCAGGGCGAGGGGCCCGAACGACTCACACCACGAAGAGCCCGAACGACTCACACCACAAGGAGGTTCCCGAACGACTTACACCAGGACGAGGCGCCCGAACGACTCACACCACGAGGAGCCCGAACGACTCACACCACGACGCGGGCCTCGAACGACTCACACCACGAGGAGCCCGAACGAGTCACACCAGGAGGAGGGGCAGCGCTCATACAAGCCACCACGAGGAGCCCGAACGACTCACACCACGACGAGGGCCCCGAACGACTCACACCACGAGGAGCCCGAACGAGTCACACCAGGAGGAGGGGCCCGAACGACTCACACCAGGACGAGGGGCCCGAACAACTCACACCACGAGAAGCCCGAACGACTCACACCAGGACGAAGAGCCCGAACGACTCACACCACGAAGAGCCCGAACGACTCACACCAGGAAGAAGGGCCCGAACGACTCACACCAGGACGAGAAACCCCAAACGACTCAAACCACGAGGCGCGTTTTCTCTCCCTCCTCCTCCGCCTCGTCCTTCTTCCGCTCCCCCCACAAGGAGGATGTACAAGGAGGCGGGAAGAAGGAGTAACAGGGGAGATATGCGGGGGCAGGCGGAAACACGTCTGAAAAACACTACTGTCGGCATGTTTCGCAAGAGTTGCTGTTGAGAGATGGGCTGGTGGGGACACGCGAAGCGTAAAGAATTGGGTGTGGGTGACGCATGCGGGCGGCAGCACTGGGGCCTTCGGCGAAGCTCCTATGGGGCTACGAAACGCTGCACTGGGTGGGTGAAACGCAGGGAAGAGGGGGAGGAGGGAGGAGGAGGGGGAGGAAGAGGAGGAGGAGAGGAGGAGGAGGAAGGAGGCGGGAACGCGGGGCACCGTCTCTTCAAAACGAGGACCCAACACCACAGGATGGTTGGGAAAAACCAAGTGGACCAAGTGTATTTGCTGGGGCGTCACGCTGTCACCCTGCTCATCCTTTCCTCATCATGCTCGTCCTCCTCTTCATCCTTCTCCTCGTCCTCCTTCTCCTCCTTTTCCTTGTCCTCCTCCTCCTCCTCAACGTCCTCCTCCTCCTCCGCCTCCCCCCCCCGACCTCGGGCGTGATGGACCATGGGACCTCATGGAGCCTCCTGGTAATCCCGGGGGCCTCCTGGGATAGCAACCTCTGGGGACTTCCTGCGGCCTCTTGAAACCTCCTGAGCTCTCCTAGGGTATCCTCAGCCCTCCAGGGGCGTCCGCAGCGTTCTGGAACTTTTGGGTCGTTCAGGATACGCCCAGAGCGTGATGGGACCTCCTGGGGCCTTGCGGGACCTCGCGGGGCATCCTGGGACCTCCTGGAACGTCCTGGAGCCTCCTTAGGATTCCCACGGCCTCCGGGGACGTCCTGAAGCCTCCTGGAGCTTCCTGATGCCTCCTGAGACCTCCTGGGGCCTCTTGGCGGCTCTCTAAGAAGCCACGCGCGGGGCCTCAAAACTGGCGACAGTTTCAAGGATGGGAGCCTTCCCATTGAGAAAGAAGGCGCGGTGAACGTTGAAAAATGACGACAGTTACACACTTGAGGCCCAAAACCGTGCCGGGCGCCCCCCATCCCCATTCCTGGTCCTGCATAGTACGGTGCGATTTGCCCCCTCCCCGCTGTCCCGCCGGTCCCCGGGAGGGCTAGTTTTCTGGTTTTCGCTGGTAAGAAACACTTCCCCCCCCCTCTCGGCGGTGACGGAGGGCAGGCGGCGGGGGAGAGCGTGTTGGCAGGGTGGCTGGTTGGGCACGGAGAGCAGGCGGAGGGGATCGGCTGGTTGGCGGGATGACGGGGTGAGCGGCTGGGCTGGTTGGCTGGCGGGTTGGCTGGGTGGCGGGGTGGCTGGGTGGGCTGGGTGGCTGGGTGGACGGGTTGTCAGTTTGAGCTGGTTAAGGCATTTGGTTTCTACTACGACTACTACTACTACTACTACTACTACTACTACTACTACTACTACTACTACTACTACTACTACTACTACTACTACTACTACTACGCTACTACTACTACTACTACTACTACTACTACTACTACTACGACTACTACTACTACTACTACTACTACTACTACTACTACTACTACTACTACTACTACTACTACTACTACTACTACTACTACTACTACTACTACTACTACTACTACTACTACTACTACTACTACTACGACGACTACTACTACGACTACTACGACTACTACTACAACTACTACTACTACTACTACTACGACTACTACTACTACTACGACTACTACGACTACTACACTACTACTACTACTACTACTACTACACTGCCTATAATACACACACTAACTACTACTACTAATACTACTACTACAACTACTACTACTAACGACACACACTACTACGACTGCTACGACTGCTACGACTACTTAACGACTACGACAGCTATTACTCACTACTAACTACAACTACTACTACTACTTACTAACGGCAGCTGCTGCACAACACAACTACTACTACTACTACTACTACTACTACTACTAAACTCCTACTACTACTACTACTCCTACTACTACTACTACTACTACAACTACTACTTGTACTACTACTACTACTACTACCACTACCACTACTACTACTACTACTACTACTACTACTACTACACTACTACTACGATACTACTACTACTACTACTACTACTACTACTACTACTACTACTACTGACTACTACTACTACTACTACTACTACTACTACTACTACTACTACTACTACTACTACTACTACTACTACTACTACTACTACTTCTAGGACTACGACTACGACTACTTCTACCACTACTACTAATAATAATAATAATACTAAGAATAATAATAATAATAATAATCATAATAATCATAATAACAATACTGCGACTCTACTACTACTACTACTACTACTACTACTACTACTACTACTACTACTACTACTACTACTACTACTTCTACTACTCCTACTAATTGATACTACTACTACTACTACTACTACTACTACTACTACTACTGCTGCTGCTGCTGCTGCTGCTGCTGCTCCTACTACTACTACTACGACGACTACTACGACTACTACTACTACTACTACTACTACTACTACTACTACTACTACTACTACTACCTACTACTACTACTACTACTACTACTACTACTACTACTACTACTACTACTACTACTACTACTACTACTGATAAACATAATAATACGGCTACTACTCCTTCTACTACTGCTACTACTACTGCTACTACTACTCTTACTACAAGGATACTAATACTACTACTGCTCCTTCGACGACGACTATGCTTCTCCTCCTCATGCCCCCCTGCCTCATCATTCCTTCTCCTCGTCCTTCTCCCTCCGCCTCCTCTTCCTCCCGAGCACATTGCTCATCATTCTCCCGTTCGTCCTCCTCCTTCTGTTAGCAATTACCGCATTGACTCATCATTGTCATCATTGTCACCATCATGGCATGATGGTCCCCGTTCAACCCTCCCGCTCCACCCACCACCCCTACTCCTGCTCCTGCTCCTCCTCCTCCCCCTCCTCGAGCTCCACCGTCCCACTCACGAAGGCCCTGCTCTTGTGCCCCGTCCATGTGTGCACGCACAGCCGAAGATACAACGCTCTGAAGGCGCTACGCTGCCACCCTGTGCACCCACGGCTCCTCCCACCCGCGGGCCAGGCAAATGTCGTCATCACTCTCGTAGTCCTCCTCGCGACCGCCGACCGTAATCGCGATCGTGATGTGCGCCATCGTCGTCACCGCCGTCGTCCCCCCGGCCCCCGTCCCTCTGGGGCCCAAAATTCGTGTGGTGAGGGGCCGCGCGGTGACCTGGGAATTCCCACCGACCTCACCACGCGGTCCGTCGCCGCACGGTCGTGGGACCTCGGAGGCCCCGGTCACACGAGATGTCCTCGGAGAACGGCCCGAGCCCGACGACAGTGCGGCGACCCCGACAGTTCCCACTGACTCACCTCGCGGTCGCGGGTTTGGGGGCCAGTCGCCCTCCCCCCCTCGCCGTCGCAGAACAAGCCGCGGCCGCCGACGCCACCCGCCACGACCGCCGCCGGCCCTCGGCCACCAGTGCCGCACGTTCACGGGCAGAGGGAGCTGCAGGCCGGGGCCTGCCACACATCCTTGACGCCTCCACCGCCTCCCGCACGGCGGCCAGCGCGGGCGCTGGGGTGTCGTCCCCTGCGGGAGGCGCCAGGGAGCCAGCGAGGCGGTGGCTGCCCATCGGCCGACAGTGCTCCAAATTCCAGGCTCCCCCGAAGCTTCTTGGAGGGCCCCCTGCTTGCTGCGCGAGGACTGTTGCGGTTCGGTCCCTAGCACCACGATGTTGCATGCTTGCATTTACTTCGGCGCTTCCTCCCCGCATCTGTGCTGTCGTCTGTCCTCCTCCACTCTTCCCCTCTCCACTCCACTCCTCCGCCCTCCTCCGCAATTCTTCACACCCCTCCCAACTCAATTCCCCTCCTCCGCCCTCCTCCCCACTTCCCCTCCCGAGCTTGGGCTTGGCGATCAGCTGCCTGTCCCGGCGGATGCTTCTACACTTCCCTGATCAGGTCAACTCGCCCGGCCATGGTCTCTGACGGGGCTGATGGGGATACGCGAAGCGTCAAAACATAATTCCAGACATTAGCACGTACGCATGATATACACAAGCACACACGCTACCGCCAACCCACGAACCACCACCAACACCCCAACCCCCGCCCTCCCTTCCGTCCCTCCCCACCCACCTCGCCCCTACCTGCCCTCCCTCCCCCTCCCCCCCCCATCCCCACCTCCCACCCAAGCCCCCCACCCCTCCCCCCACACCCCTTCCCCCAACCCCCTTCCCAACCCCTCGCCCGACCCCTTCCCACCCCCTCGCCCGCTCCCTTCCCGCCCCAGCGCCCCCTTCCCACCCCAACCGCATCTCATTAGCTGTCCCCCTTCCCACCCCCTCGCCCCGCAGCACCGCGCTGCCAACCCCTCTTCCTCGGACTTTCCAAGCTTTCGCTCCCATCGTCGTCGTCGTCGTCGTCGTCGTCGTCGTCGTCGTCGTCGTCGTCGCCGCCGTCGTCGTCGTCGTCGTCGTCGTCGCCGCCGCCGTCGTCGTCGTCGTCGTCGTCGTCGTCGTCGTCGTCGTCGTCGTCGTCGTCGTCGTCGTCGTCGTCGTCGTCGTCGTCGTCGTCGTCGTCGTCGTTTCGGCTTGCAGCGGGGGCTGCGAGCTGGGACTAGCGCGATGTCCGCGCGCGAGGCCACTGCCCATCACCGCACGCGCTGCCATCGGCTGGCGGCGCGCCCGCTGCTGCAGGCCTGGGCTGGCCACGGCGGGGCCGACTGGAGGATCGGCCCGTGGTCGCCGCTGGCCCGCTGGAGCGGCACCACGGCGCGGCGCCGCCAGGCGCCTGGGCCATGGGCGGAGGCAGGGGAAGTGATGGCAGGCGGAAGAGGAAGCGGCAAGCGGAGGAGCAGGCCAAGGACGGCCAGCAGGAAGAGGTTGAAGGCGCAAGAGGAGGCCAAAGAGCCGAAGGGCCAGGGCCAGTCATGAGGTGGCTGGGCCACCACCTGGTGGAGTACAAGAGCGCGGAAGGTGAGCAGGGGCTGGCGTGCGAAGGTGCGGAGCCAATTGCGCGCGAGGCCACATGCAGAACAAGAGGAGAGGCGGGAGCTCCTCTTCCAAGAGTGCCGAGGCGAAGGGCGTGGCTGCAAGGAGCAGCTACGGAGGCAGAGGAGAGGCCTATACACCCTCCCCTCGAAGGGTGACGGCAGGTGTGTGTGTGTGTGTACGCCGATGGCGTAGGAGAGGTGCTGAGGAGTGAGCTCGAGGAGGCAGCGGGCGAGAAGATGGTGCTGGTCGAGAAGGAACCCAGGGAGAGCCAAGCGAAGCAACGGCTGCGGGATGCGGAGGACGAGCTGAACGAGGCGGCAGGCGCCCTCGCGACCTCCAAGCACGCGCGCCTGAAGGCCAACGAGGAGTGCCTCCGGGAGGCGAAGACTGGAAGAAGCGCAGGAGGAGGCAAGCCAGAGGACGACGTACAGTTCCTCGAGGCGGAAGAGCCCCTGGCCGTGGAGGTGCCTGGGGACCTCGGGCAGGAGCTCGACGGGTGGACGACGTGGAGGTCAACGACGGCTGCGAACGGGGCAGGGAGGAGCTCAAGCGCTACCAGGCTGAGGGCAAGCAGGCGCTGGAGGCGGCCAGGGCCAGGAAGGCGGAGGCGGCAGCAGCGGGTGTGCAGCTCCACCAGCAGGCGCAGAGCAAGGCAGCGGAGCTCAAACAGAGGGTCGGCCAGGCGCGAGTGCGGGCGCGAGAAGCGTCCCAGAAGCGCAAGGTCGAGCTGAAGTGAGGAGCGCGCGGTTCGACCATGCAGCTGAGCTTCCTCGGCTTAAGCGTGCTGATCGGCGGCGGCGAGGCGAATAAGGACCACCTGGGGGTCTGCATCGCCCAGCAGGGGATCGACGTGCAGCGTGACGGCAGGTGGCGCGGGAGATTGCTAGATGACGGGTGTGAGGAGCGGCGTGGCAGGCAGCGCAGCCACGAGGTGCAGGTGGCCACCCCCAGCCTGAAGGAGCTTAGCACGGCGGGAGAGCCCAGCAGGTCCGAGTTGTGGGACTACAACGAAAAGGAGAGCTGGGGGCTGGGCGGCGCGGTGCCAAGCGCGAGTGCTGACCTGCAGCTCGAAGACGCCAGGCTCGACCCGCAGGAGGCACTCAGCATCGAGCGCTTCGACCTAGGCCGGGGCAAGAAGAACTACAAGGACATCGACATCGGCACGCCCCTGAACGGGTCGGAGGGCAAGAGGCTGCGCGAGGTTGGGGGCACAGGCGTCGTCGGTTCCTTCGGCAAGGGTGCGGCTGAGGAGGAGAGGAGGTGGGGGGGAAGGGCCGCCAGTGCGGCGCGCCCCCCACAGGCGCGAGGAGGCCGAAGGCCCAGCCGCTGACCTCAGAGGTCAGGTGGAGGGCCCAGCAGCTGACAGCGCCAAACAGAGAGGCAAGCAAGAGAACGAGCAGCAGGACGCGTATGGCCGTGGCAGCAGACCCAGCGCAAGCCTGGACCACTCAGCCGCAGTCCCTCTCCAACGTGCGATGGGCCCTGCGGGGACAGCGCCCGGGGTGCAGCAAGAGGCCACTGGGGAGGAGTTGGGAGGGATAAAAGGCTGCGCAGGGAAGCGAGCCGCGGCGAGCGGGGGCAATACAGCACGAGAGTCTTGACAAGCGGACGACGGCGGAGGCGGGCCCGACCAACTGGAGGCGCACCTGTCCGAGATCCTGGGCAAGCTCGAGCACAGGTTCGAGCTGGTGGTGAACCAGAGGTTCCTGGAAAGAAAAGGGCCTGAGGAGCGGACGGCAACGGCAAGAGAACGTGCTGGCGCAGGCGGGCCAGACCAGCCCGAGGCACATCGCGTGGGGATCATGGAGGTGATCGAGCGCTGGTTCGAGCTGGAGGAGACCCAGGAGATCCTCGTGGGAGGAGGGACCGATGAAGGGAAAGCACATGGCGGAGGCAGCGGCGGTTGGCAGGAGGAAGCTGATGCCACGTACGCCGAGCCCCCCCAGCCCGCAGTGGCTGCCGAGACGCTCCTGGAGGAGGTCGCGCACGCGATCGAGCTGCAGGAGGCCCAACGAGTGTGGGAGAGCGCCGAGGGGAAGGAGAGCTTCACAGCCGACAGGACTTCGTTAGTAGCGAACGGCATCGGCAACAGCGAACATGAGGGGGAGGGGAGGGCAGCCAGCTGGCATGGAGGCCCTGGCCGCGGAGGCTGTGAGGAAGGCGCAAGCAAAGGAGGAGAAGAGAGGCGGCACTGGCGCCGAGGAGGCAGAGGCGGAGGGCTTCCTCCAGCTAGAGCGCCGCCAGAGGAGCAGATGGAGAGGCAGGAGGTGGGGGAGCGCAGACGAGGCCTACGAGGAGTGGTTCACGGCGGCCGAGGACTACCCGTGTGAACTGCACGGGCCGCCGAAGCCCACGGTCGGGCACGAGGACTGCCAGCGGCTGCACCGCGGGCTCCAAGAAGGAGAAGCGGGCCCTGGTGCAAGGAGAGGAGGCAGGGGTGAGGTTCGCCAAGGGCATCTTCCCTGAGGTGAAGCAGGTGGGGTTCATGCTGCACGAGAGGCCCGAGAAGGGCGAGGGGATCGGGATCCAGGAGCCGCCCGACGGGGTCTTCAAGGGCAGGGTGTTCGTGAACAGCTCGGCGACGGACCCCATGGAAGAGAGCCTGAGAAGGTCAGGCTGGGCGATCGGGCAGTACTCAGGGGGCGGCCAGGGGCATGGAGCTGAGTGGAATACGGTGCCGCTCGCGCGGGCGCCGATGCAGCTGGCCAGGGACGACGAGGATCGCGCGCTCCACGTCTTGGCAGGCTGCGCCCACGGCTCGCTGGAGGTTTTCTGCGACAACCAGAGAAGGCAATGAGGAGGCGGACGCGGGGGCCAAGAGAGGAGCCAGCTGGTGGGGGACACGAGCCTCAGCGGGCCTTGGCCGCGGAAGGTGCCCGCTCCCGGCCAGGCAGATGGCAAGGTGGGCAGCGCAGTCCTCGGACGGGCGGCGGTCGCAGGCGCCAGGCGCGGACGGCTTCCCAAGAGAGGCCTCAGCCAAGCACGAGGGCATGGACCCCAGCGTCCAGGAGGCGGAGGACGGGCTCAGGAAGGCTGAGGAGGTGCAGGCCAGGGATGGCTACCAGACAAGAGCAGAGGAGGCAGGAGGAGGCCAGGAAGCCGAGTGGTTTCTGTCCAGTCATCAGGTGGCGGAACCACCGCGTGGCGGAGCACAGGAGTGCGGGAGGCGAGCAGGGGCTGACGTGCCGAAGGGGCGGAGCCAACGGCGCACGGGGGCCACCTGCAGACCAAGAGGAGGCGTGAGCTCGGTTTCCAGGAATGCCGCGGCGAGGGGTGTGGCTACCAGGAGCAGCTGAGGGAGGCATTGGGAGGACTTGCACCCTCTCCACTCGAAGAGGGACAGCACGTGCGAGTACGCCGAGGGCGTAGGAGCGCAGCCGAGGAGCGAGATCGTGGAGGCAGAGGGCGAGAAGAGGCAAGACGGAGAGGACCTGCGAGGGCAGGGAGGTGCGGGCGTGGCGTGCCCGACGGAGGACGGCCCCAAAGGCTACGGCGGCGCGCTGCCGCTGCAACCGCGGTGTGCAGTAGCCAAGGCCCACGGGGTCGACGAGGGCGGCATGCTGGCCTTGGGCAGGGGAGCCCGGGCAGCCAAGGC